TAAAAGAAAAAGTGTATTTCAATCCGATTCAAAATGTAGCTGAGCTACGGCAAAGACTATTGGAAGCAGCTGAGTTTGTTAATAACCGTGGATTCGCTCGTTTAATAACCCGATCTTTTTTAAGAAGATGTCGAGCGTGTATTGCGGCTGGAGGAAAACAGTTTGAGCATTTGCTGTAAAGGTAAATCATCATCAGCAGCATTTTGACACCCACTGTTGTGCAAACAGTTATCCTTAGGGGTCCTTGTGTTATACCATTTTGGAATCGTTATTAATGCGCCAACTTTTAAGGTTACTTGCCAAACTCTCGTAGTACATTTTTTTCCAGTACAGCCAGTTAAAGTTGAGCAAAGTTTTACTTTGGAATACTTGGTTGGGAAATAAGTGGCAATTTTTCCTGAACGAGAAAAGTTGGCAGTAAGGTTGAGACACCAGTTTGAAGATGCATTATTCATCATTACATTGTAAAAATAAAATCCAAAAAAGTTAATATTTGTAGTAACAGTAGTTGACAGACTGCCATAGGGTGTGAAATTTCTATATTTTTTCAAAGACCTATAATTTTCAAAACACATACATAAAATTTTTTTAAATATTTTTCTGATAGCTGTTATGACTTTGCCTATCACCCGGTTTCGGCTTGACGTCGACTTCTGGGACACCCTGTATAAAATAAAAACATTTTTGTGTAAATCACTAGTTATGTCAAAGATATAGTTGATCTACCGTTTCTTGGAACAACATCTCTTTCAAGTCAGCGAAAAATTCAATATTATTATTGCAGATTGATCGACAACTTAAGAAAGTATGATCACATCAGCTCTTTCGTAGAAGGCAAGGAGTGGTTGAGGATAGAAGACACTTAATTTGTTATACTCATAAACTATTACGCACTTTATCTTCAGTGATGATATTTTCTGATTTCATCATAAAACATTGTGGCATGTAATTTTCACGCAGTCATAACGTATTCAAATTTATTTTTCTTTAGCTCTCTTCTTTCACTATACATCGTATTTGTAGCGTTTGGTACTCTGCACATTTCTATTATCTCTATCTAGTTTTTCATAGCGCATGATTCGATATTTGAAATCTTAAATTTATTGTGCTTCCTTGAAGGATTCTTTACAAACAACTGTTACAAACTTATTAAAATATATCGCACGCTACCTGGTCGACTTTAAAGTTTTTGTCTGTATTTTCAATAAATAATCTTTGAGTACTCTCGCGGCAAATATATTTTGTCGTGCTTTCTTTTTGTATCCCTATGGCTCCCAAGCTTCTAATGTCAATAACAACAGCTTCGTAAATCATATTTTGACGGGCATTTCTTTCTCGTTAACGTTCATCATTACAATGTACTAATAATAAATACATAATAAACATATTTGACAGAAATGCGAAGCTGTTTCACTGAAAGAAAAAATCCCTAAACCACTTCAAGCACTCCGACACGAGATATTCGCCAGCCATTAAACATTTACACCCGTATAATTGCTACCTCCATCCGCCATCTCATTTTCACTAACGGAATATCGATGTCGCATAACTCTGCGTGCGTATATGGGGGTGGAAATTAATATGGATCTGCCGAGGTAGTTCGCATGCGAGGGACGCCACGAAGCTTAGGAGAATCTTGTTACGGCCAGCCAGTGTGTCCCCGGAGAGAGAATCAGCTCTGAACCGCTGAACCGTGTGCTGCAAATACGGTGGCTTTATAAAATATGCAACACGGAGGTCAAAGTTTGGACAACGACATACTGGATGAGTTTTCTTGTATAAGCCAGCTGTAGCTGACGAAAATTTTTGTTCATTTTTCAAACACTTACGTTCGGTAGGAATGGATTTTGTTATGTAGTATGTATCAGTTATTAGTTTATTTAAGTGTATTAGTATGTATTAGTATTAGTAAAATAAACACATATATGTCGCATGCAACTGGGTATAACTTCATTTAAGTTAGTTTACATTGCTTACCACTAGGTAGCTCACTGTTCATTCTAAAATTGTCAAAGTAATAATAATATTTATTCACTCAATGTACAAAGATAACAAACAATATGAGTAAATAAATATAAAATCAAAACAGGCCCAATAGAAGGCATCGCCTGTACATGGACCAATAATTTAAGTTGAAACTGTAGAATGCAAATGACAAAAAAGGACAAAAATTAGCTACAGTAGATTATGTATTTAGTTGATGTTCGTATTTATGAGTTTATGAATTTCAGTCCTAGATATAGAATATAGCCACTTTTTTAAATTTCTTTTGAAACAATTTCCGAAACGTAAATCTTTTAAGTCTTTAGGTATAATTTCATAAAGTTTAGGCGCTAAAGAGAGATATGATCGCTGCATTATAGATTTATGCGGTTGAGGAACTACTGTGCCACGAATTTTGTACCTGGTATAATAATTATGTTTAATTTTTTGGTCGGTGTTTACAAAATTATGGTAGTGAGTGATACTGTGTAAGAAATAAAGCTGTCTTATATCATACATTCGAACATCTGCATATAATTTTTCAGTGGGATAAAGTTTCGGTTTTTTAAATATCATTTTTAGAATACTTTTTTGAAAAACATCTAAATTATAGATATGTGAGGAACATGCAGCTCCCCATGCTAATATACCATACGTGAGATGAGGCTCAATCAGTGCATGGTATAATGTTAGAAGATATTTTTCTGTCAATATATTCCCAAGGTATTTAGTTTTGTAGGATACAAATCTAACTTTCTTTAAAATATAATTGACATGGATGTCCCATCGTAAGTGAGGATCCAAGACCACTCCAAGGTATTTTATGTTGGGCACTCTATTAATTTGCATTTTTTGATCATTAATATTGAAGGAGAAATTTGTGTAATTTGGCAGATGTCTAGCATAAGATCCAAATGGTAAAAAATGTGTTTTAGAGTAGTTAATGCTTAATTTTCTACTGTTAAACCGCCGAATAATTTTGATAAAATCATTTTCAATTACATTTTTCAGATCAGACCAGTCAGTGCCTTCATATAATATTGCAGTATCATCTGCAAAACTAGTTATTTTGCCAACACAATTAATTTGGAAAATATCATTTAAATATATATTAAATAACAGCGGACCTAAGACAGTTCCTTGTGGGACACCACACTTAATATACATTTCTTTACTAAATGATCCTGATATCTGTACAGATTGTGGGCGATTTGACAAATAACTTTCGATCAGTGAGTACGCGTTTCCTCTGAAACCAATTCTCTCCAATGCTTCTAATAATAATTTGTGATTAACTGTGTCGAAAGCTTTCTTTAAATCAACAAAAATGCAGATTGAAGGGATTCTGTTATCAATATTTTGATGTATTTGATTTACAATTTTAGTTATTGCGTCCGATGTAGCCTTCCCTTCTGTAAATCCATATTGATTTTCACTTAAAATTTTGAATTTTGTGAGGTATCGAATCATTCTAGTAGATAAAACTTTTTCAAAAACCTTTGCTACACTGGATATTACTGATATTGGTCTATAGTTGTTAACATCTGTTTTTGTTCCTGATTTATGTATCGGTATTATATTACCTTTTTTTAAAATTGAGGGATATATGCCAGATTCAAAGCATTTGTTGATTAGGTAAGTGAGTGGTTCTGTTATGTCCTCGGCTATAATTTTCAAATGCTCGCTTTTAATACCATCGAACCCAAGACTTTTCCGAAGGACATAACAGTGGTGTATACTTCACATTGCTCGACTTTAGTAGTTCAACACACTAAAAATTTTGACGACCACTGGCTTAAACATTGCTGATAAGCAGCAAAATCAATGTTTATCATGTTGCGTACAAGAACACAGGCAATGACTGTAAAAAAATTGAAAAGACAATTTAGTAAATAACGTTCTTTCAATAATACATACCTAAGAAACATTAGATACAAATGAAGCAGTGTTTTATTTGTCGAATAAGAACTAGGTTTTGGAATCCAGTATTAACTTCTCAACTGAAATCCAAAGTTTGACAGGGTTATCGTTCCCTAAAAATGTTTTTTGCCATCATAGGCTGTGACACCCTATTGTGTAAGTCTTTTCAACCCCCATATTATGAAATTTATCCCCCTACGCCGCTGTCCCTACAGCCTCCTCTATTTGTCCAGTGCGCCCTCCCGCCAGAGCATATCAAGTTCCACACCGGCGATATTGATGAAGATACCAACGGCGACTGGCGCACCAACCGCAAAATGCAATCCGCTTTCTCACCAGCGGTCGCGCTGCGTCGTAACTTCCAAAATAGGTCAACATCCTTTGTAAATGTCCCCTCCGAGTGAGGGGAAACGGGGAAGTGACGGTGACTGATGGAGCGGTGGATAGCGATAATATTTATCTACCTCTTCGGTAAGAGGGCTTTCGAGGTGTATCAGAAAGTAAAATTCGCGCTAGGTGGAAGGAAAAAAAGATAGATGGGAAGATACCCCTCGTCAGTTCTTTCAAATATCTTTTTTTTGGTCGGGGGTTTTTAGGGGAAGGTTCGCTCTTAAATTTAGATACTACGCAATCTCAAAAATAACGCATTGAAAATTATGACGTTCAAGGTTGACCAGACCTTAATTCTTCGTTAATTTTTGGTGGTCAAACAATCCTGACATTCTCTGGATTTATGTCAACGGATATCCCAAGAGGGGTATAGGGGTTAATTGCCCCCTCCCAGACGACAGCAGTCTTTGTATAAAATGACTGGGTATATTGAAAGTAAATATCCTTATCCCCCAGACTCATTTCCTGAGAGTGCTTCTGCATTCCATTTTGAAGATATAATAAAGCTAGTGAAGTTTGACATTAAACATTTTATGCAGTATACTAGAAGACAAGAGAGAAACAATATTCATATTTTGTCCTTATTCTCATCACTAGCATAGACATTTACACAACGTCCTCTATCTTTTTTGTTATTTATGGATATACTTTCTCTACTCTTTCTATATATGGTCATTTAACTTTAAATCACCTTACATTTACTTTTTTCTTTATCTGTTGCAGGGCCACCGCGTAGCCCAACCCCTAGGTCCAGCCTTAGCGGACTCACGAGCGCTCCCTAATCGTCCCTTTCGCGTCTAAGGGATGCGCTCCTCACCAGGAAGTCCCTCACCGATAGACAACAACAATGACGTCATCAACAAGAAGATACAGTTAGTTCAAAGGATGAGCGATAACGGAAAAACCAGCTATCAGGTAAATTTAATCGTTTTCTGACCTTGATGTCACGAAAAAGGAAAGACAGCTCTTATCGTATCTTTTCCAAGGCTAAGGTCAGGTTTTAAAGACAAGATCAACAGTCAAGTTCAACCATCAAGATCAAGGTTAGTGTCGACGGTTCATTTCAACGTTCAAGGTCAAGCTTCAAAGCCGAAATCAATTTTCAATGCCAATCCTTAAGGTCATTGCGAACCTTTAACTTAGTGTAAAATTAGCCTCACAGTTTCGATATTGGCGATAAAATTCCCTAGGAAATCGAAATAAACTGCTTTCATTATAGTCATAGTTCTAAGGTTAAGGTCAATCAGTTTTGTGAAACATTAAAAAAGCTAAGTATTTAATTGTCCTGAAAATCAAAATGAGAAAGTGCTGGCACTAGATGTAACTTTGATTTCCAGGCCAAGGTCAACTTTCAAGATATCGATATTTAAATTCAAAGTCAAGGTCAGTCTTCAAGGTTGATCCAGAAGGTTATTTTGAACCTTTAAACCAAACGTCTAGGAATATTAGCCTGTCAGTTTTGATCTTGGCATTCAAAGAATCTGGAAAATCCAAAGGCAGAAACTTTCATTAGATATTTAAAGTCTTGCTTCTAAGGCCAGCTTCAATATTCAAGGTCAATCAGGTTCGTAGTTTTGTCAGAAGTTTATATTGACAAGGTGCATTTGGTTGTCCTGAAAATCAAAACGGGAAAATGCTGTCATTAGATGCAACTTTGCCTTCCAGGCCAAGGTCAACTTTCAAGACCTTGATATTGGACTTGACTGGAGCTCATTCAAATTTCGCAAAATTTCGAATCGAAATGATGGTATTACCAGAACTAGCCTTACTTCCAGAGTTATGGTCAGTCTTCAAGGTCGATCCACAAGGTCATTTTGAGTCTTTAATCTTTAAAATCAAACATCCAGTTTTGATCTTGCATTCAAAGATTCTGAAAAAATCAAAGGCAGAAAGTGCTTTTATAGCCTTATCTCTAAGGCCAAGGTCAATCTTCAAGGACAGTCAGCTTCGCAGTTTTGTAAAACGTTTATATTAAAAAACGGCGCAAATGTGCTGAACATTGAAATGAGAAAGTGCTGTTACTTGCAACTTGCTTTCCAGGCCAAGGTCAACCTTCAAGACCTTGATATTGACTTGAAGCTCATTGCAATCACGCGACGAGATAATGCTATTACCAGATTAAGCCTTGATCCTAAAGTCAAGGTCAGTCTTCAAGGTCGTCCACAAGGTCATCTTTAAAAACAAACTTCGAAATTAGCTAAACGTACAAAGCGACTCGAAAACCTAAATAAAAAAACTAATTTCACAAGATGTCTATAAACTTGTCTATATGGTCAAGATCAATATTCAAGTCAATAACCTTCATAGCTTTTAGCTTCAGGTCAGTATGAGCATTTATAAGCTCATACGAAGTAATCTTTGGAAAGAACTTGCTTTAGAGTTTTGATTTTGATAATCAGAACTCATCGAAAACCTAAAGAAACAAACTAAGTTCACTAGATATCTGAATCCTGGTCTGTAAGGCCAAGGTCAACATTCAAGGTCAATCAGCGGCATAGCTTTGTAGAACCTTGGTATTGAAGAAGCTAGTTGGAATGTTGTTGTTGTTGTTGAGCTTTTCAGGCCCGTGTCAACCTTGTAGACCTTGATACAACTCAAAGCTTCCTAAGAAAAAATGCTATTACCAGATATAGCCTTGCTTCTAAGTTCAAGATCAGCTTTAGAGGTCAATTAACTTCATAATTTTGTGGGCGTGCTATTGAGCAACAACTTGTTTAACTGTTCTGAATGTTCAAAAGTTAAGATATTAGCCTTCAAGGTCAAAGAACAGCTTCGTAGCTTTATGACTTTCATATCAAGTTAAAGCTGCTCATTTAAATACAGTGATCATCCAGAAATATATAACGCTAGATATAAGATTGATTCCAAGGCCAAGGTGGGCGTTCAAGGCCATATGCCCCGGAAGTCCAAAGGAAGGAAATGTGATACACCTGTATAATATTGTTTTCAAGGTCAGTTTGCTTCATATTCTTGTGACTTTGTTATCAAACTTGATGTTAATTAAAGTGTCATGAAAAGCGAGAAACTTTTATCACTAGCTTTCCTTCTAAGGTCAAAACAGCCTTGCAGATCAATCAACCGTGGTTGTGTGACCTTGATATAGAAGGTTAAGATATACTTCAAGGTCAACCAGCAGGAATCGGATAAAAGTTGAATTTTGATCATTCGAAAAGTGTTCAAGTATTTCGAGGCATTGATTTTGAATGTTTTTCCAGGCGATAAAGTCGACCGAATCGCTGCAAAGCGCCGGGACGACGAGGTCATCGACGGTGACTTCCTCTAGAAGTAAAAAGAAAACTGGTGTCCATCTCAACAATCTTTGGTCCATTTGGTACGGCTTGTTCTGTACCGGACTGCAAGGATATGCAGCTTACAAATGCCTGAAAAGAGTACTCGGTGAGTGAATACCTGCATATCCCCATTCACCAAAAGATAAATATCTATTCAACGACCTAACTCATTATACGATCAAAAGGCACCTTTATATTCTTTTGTTTTTCTATCGGGCTTCCTCTGAAATTGGAGAGTTTCGGGAGCAGAATAACAAGGCAACCCTAGTAAAAACACACAAGCCTGGCCGCAAAATGTAATAATCCAGTAGAATAAGCATGAATTAAAGATAAGCAAACAGTTGTATGTATACTAAGTGACATATAAATCCGAACACCCAGTTTTAAATGGTTTTATTTTAATAAAAGTTGGTGAATGTATTTATCTTACTGTAAATAACAAGTGAAAAAATTTTCAGCCTTATCAGTTGGACATTCCGGTTTTTATACTACTTTTTTTTAATTCACTAACGCTCTAAAAATGAATATTTCAGCCGCAGTAAAGAATCAACGTTGGCGGATGTTGGTTCTTGACATCCTTTACGATCGGTTACGATGCCTAGAGTACGGAGACCTGTACGATTTCGTCAACTTAGTGAGTTTGATAGGGGCCGTATAGTGGGACTTCGGGAAGCTGGACTTTCTTTTCGGGCAATTGCAGTTAGAGTGCAAAGAAGTGTGTTAGGTGTTGTCAGGCATGGCTTCGAGAAGGTCGTACGCAAAGAGCAAAGGGCACTGGACGCCGCCGTAGATCAACAGACCGTGAAGATCGCCGCCTAAGATTATTGGCCTTAAGGGACCGTTTCTCCACTACCAGGTCCATTGCAAATGAATGGTTTGCAGAACACGGAATACCTATTGGCATGCGAAGTGTTTACCGACGAATGAGAAGTTTTGGCTTGTTTTCATACGGGCTACACTGGGTCCTCCCTTTAACTCGACGTAATCGCCTTGAGTGGTGCAGACAACGGTCACTCTGGGATCAGGAATGGAACAGTATTGTCTTTAGTGACGAGTCTCGATTTTGTTTAGGTATGCACGATGATCGTGCCAGGGTTAGAAGGCGACGCGGTGAAAGGAGGAATCCACAGTTTTTTGTTGAAAGACATTTTCATCACACTGTTGGAGTTATGGTTTGGGGTGCTATAGCTTATGGTTCCAGGTCACCTTTAATCTTCATCAGAGGTAACATGAACGCGCAGCGTTATATCCACGAAGTTCTAGAACCCCATCTTTTACCCTGTCTTGACACCCTGGCAGATCCAACTTTCCAACAAGATAATGCCCGACCACATGTTGCAAGAGTCACAATAGACTTCTTTCAACATAATGATGTCACATTGTTACCATGGCCACCAAGATCTCCCGACTTATCCCCAATCACGTGTGGGATATGATGGGTAGCAGATTGCTCAATTTACAACGTCCTCCTCAGACTCTAGAAGCACTTCGAGAGGAGTTGGTGGTTGCCTGGAATGAGATACCACAGGAGGACATTGACCACCTGATCAGAAGCATGCCTAGGCGCGTTGGAGAATGCGTAGCACATCATGGTGCATCCACACATTATTAAAGGTCAAAGGGCTTTAAAGCAGTGCAATAATTTTGAAATTTTTATCATTTACTTATTATGCTTCATTAAGTACTTATACAAAATTTTATTAAAATAAAACCATTTAAACTGGGTGTTCGGATTTATATGTCACTTAGTATATGTTTAATTTAAACGTTGGCCCAAAAGACTTATATAATGTCGTATTTATAGTCATTAATAGTGTAGAAATTTGTACAATTTTAGTATGAGACAATATTTGATATAATCATCTGTTTCCATACTGTTTCAAATGCTACCTAGAACCAATACATGTATCAGTACAAAAAAGAAACACTACTCGATCTATTTAGATTACTTTTGTAGCAGCTGATCGATGTTTGCTCGCTGCCTGAAGAGTTGTCGAATTTGGATACAACGATAAGTTGATCTTTATTTTCATACGTTATAACTATCCATAGACGTTCTTCTTTAGACTTGTGTGACAACAATTTGCCATTCCAGTGGACGGTTACAGTATCCGGTACCTCGTTCCTGCGCACTGCTTTCGACTTCGGTATGAATCTTTTGAATGGAGGACTTGCTTATAGGAAACTCGTCAGTGTTGCTTCAATACCTATCTAATCCTGCCACTATTGCTGGAGTTATGAAACATTTCTTCATTTGAGTTTGATTAGTATCAGGCGATGTTGGAGCCGTACGTTCTCGGACTATACATATGAAAAATTCGAAACGACCACGATATCATCTGACCACCCAACGTCAACGCTTTGTGTTTCGGAATACGAGACAGCTTGACTTTAAAATGGGGTGCGTGCGGATCGGGGGTGGAAAAACAATGGAAATGCCAGTAATTTATGCTGGTAGCGTGTGCTGAGGGTAATGCTCGCTTTTGATTGGCCGATACGCCGTAATGTACGTGGAATTGCTTTGGTGATGCTGCCACTAACCCACTTTTTATTGCGGTGATTATATCGAGTTGAATTGTAACAAGCGGGTAATGTGATTTTTTCACATGAGGCTTTCCGCGAGGGAGAAGTCGAAATGGAAATAGCAACACTGTGAGAAAAGTATTTATAGGAAAGCATAGTAGCTAACCTGTATATGAGGGATAAGATCTACAGAAACAAGTCAGTATAAGGTACCATCTATCGCCAGAATCGCAGCTTATACTGATTTATTTTAACAGTTAGCAAGATTCAATTTAGTTTATTGTTGCATAACTTTAAGATTCGATAGAACTTTTAAAATTAATGCATAAAGTCTATATAAACATGTGTCGAAAAATGCGTGGCTTCCGAAATACAGGGTGTTTAAATTTACTTTCTAAAATATTTTTTTTTAAATATTTCGAACAATATTTGATGTATAACAGTGAAAATTGGTATACAAGGGTTTTTTGGTACGACAAAACGAACTATGGGCATAGTTTTACTGTAGCCGCTACAGGGCGCTCTCTACTGTACCTGTAGTGTATTAAAATGACCGAAAAAATTTTCTTAGTGCAATTTTTTGCTTTTTGAATAAAAAAACTGATTCTTCGCACTTTTCAACATAAAAAAGCTCTCTTGTGAATTTTCGTAATAAATAGCCGTTTTTGAGATATTTCGATTTTTAAGGTTCGATGCATTTTTAATTATTTATGATCAAATAACGTTAAAAAGTCAGTATCTCGATAATTTTTAAAGTAGACTGTGCCTGCAAATATTTTTGAAATTGAAAGCAGAATAAGGTTAAACGTCAATTAGTTGACAGTTAGTTTTGTTGTCTGTTGAAACCTGAAACGTTTTTTTTGCAATTTTGCATGTTTATATAGACTTTATGCATTAATTTTAAAAGTTCTATCGAATCTTAAAGTTATGCAACAATAAACTGAAACACCCTGTATATCTATGAAGCACTGGTGTATGCTAAGCAGCTTTAAATTGAGGTGAACATCGCATACTGACTACGATACAAGGAGTGCTGTAGAAAAAGTTTAAAAATCACAGCAATTAAATACTACAATAAATTACCCTTGCAAATCAGATCCTTAAATTCAAATGGCGTCAAACAGACAATAAGAATTTTCCTTGCCGAAAATGCTTTTTATTCATTACAAGGGTTCTTGGATTTTAATTAAATTTTGATATGTGCTTTATCTGTTATTGCTTTTTAATTCGTTTTTGTTATTTAACTGTATCTTTTTATACCCACACAATTTTATTTACAAAAATGAATTTAAGATTTTTTGCGTTGATTTCTAATTAGCTCTGCTAAAACTAACCATTTAGCTCATCTCAGAAAAAAAATCACTGCCCTACACCTAATGCTTTAGTTGTAATTGCGATTGAAAGTTCATTATCCCGTTTTTTTCAGAAATTCCACAGAATTGCCAATATCTTATGAACTATAAAATTTTGGACCGCACATACAGGGGTTCATTCGATAGGCCTTAAAACCCTCCATCACCTGACCACTACTATCTTTACACCGTGTATATGTAATATGCATCCGACTGCTACTATTAGAATTTGATTCTCTATGTCTGCTATAAAATTTTGACAGATTGACGTGTGTAAGTCTGTCAGGAAATAATACCAATAAAGTATTATATTGTATAACTTAGACAAATTTTTTACAAAACATTACTTCTATGCAAATCGAAAAAATAAAAATCGCTTTACAAAAACGCCGTTTTTTGATGCGTAACCGATATCGATGACATCTACAATTTTTAGTAAAGACCCTTAAATTATTTTTGAAAATGCTGAGGATTGAAAGGTAGATATAAGTTTCTGTGTCTGCGTAGTTACATTTCCAACTAGTCCTGGTTTATTTCACAAAACCGAGTGACTGTAAGCAACAAATTCTAGTTATCCTGATGTACAATATGGAGAAAGCATCCCATAACTCTACTAGATACACCCTATGAGACGTCCGTAAACGTCGCAAAACAAGAAACGGCCATACAATCTCTATGCTCTAATATTCCCCTGGAGCATTTTACATAGAGATTAGAGCTGACTCCGCTCAATGAGCGTCCCGGCATTTTAAATTTAATGTTGGTCATTCCGCAACTGCAATATCCTCCAGAGCAAAGCTTTGCCGAAGTGTACGGAACAGTAGAAGTAGGATCACTTGGACTGCAATTTGTATACGTCAACCGTGTTTTAGAAAAAAAATATAACAAGCAGTTTTACTACTATTTTTATAAGTAATATCATAAGGGCACCTAATTTTTCCGAAAAAATTTACTTTTTTTAACTATTATTTATTTGAAAAGTCGTTCGTTGTTTGCATATTCATAGTTCGTGTTGTCCGATTTCGTAGCTTCTAGAAGTATTACGGCCTAAGGTTGTGGAGAAATTTCATTTGTGACTTCGTCATGATTTCGCGTCAGTGAAGCGGATCTTCGTTGTCTGTAGACTTTGCCTCGGTTTAAGCGTAAAACTCATACGTGCTCGAAAGAAAAGAGCTTTGCGCTAGCAACTTTAATGAAAGAGCCCTCATAATCTGGCGATGCTAGTTGGTTC